TACATGTATTTATAAAGTCAATGAGGGCTCAAAATAGCGATATTGGAAAGGGGATGGATAAGTAAGCCATGTTGACTCAAAGCCCTTGCTATAATTACCTGATTTGGGAAACAGTTCAAATTTGATGTAGTTTGATAATCTTTTAATTCAGTGTTCTGTGGTTGGTGTCTATTTATGGCTTTTGTACTTTGTGATCATTATTGATAAACTGCTAGACTTAGATAACATGGGGCGGAAGAAACTGTTTTTATGGAAACTAAAGGTCAAAGACAAATTAAGATCTAAACTCACTGGCATGTTTCACAATTCATATTAATGTAAAGTGGATTTGGGCTTCTGTAACGCAGAGGTAGTTATGCCTTTGTAACCCAGACCAAACATAGAACACTGGCAAACACAGCTAAATATCTCACTGAGCACTCTTGGAAAAGAATAGATAGCTTACAAAGTACTTCTCATATTTCCTTCTCCCAGTAACCTGGTGAAGTCAATAATATATGTCCATTTTACAGATGGGGAACTTCAAGTTCAGAAAAGCTAAGTAATTTGCCTGAGATCATTTGATTAGCAAATGTCAGAGAATCTTGAACCTAACACCTATACTCTATCATATATGGCTATGATATTTCCCTCAAATAAAGAACTATTTTTATATAGATTTCTCTATAGTATTTCTATTGTCTTCTACCCAACTATGTAAATATCACCAATGATTTTGGAGACTAAGCAAAATTTGGGTCTAATTCAGTAAGCTATTATGATTGGATTAGAGAAACTGTCACTTTCTGTTGTGTATTTTTTATTAGTTTTCAAGAGTCCCTTAATACAAGCTATTCAGCTTTCATCAATTCTATTTCTCTTACAACATTTATAATTAGAATTTACTGATATTACTTTTCATGTTCATAGTAACTTCCAGCTGCCTCTGATTTTTAATGTAGGTAGCTAAGATGATACAATTGCTTTGCTACAGATGCAGATTCTAATGTGAATCCGGGGGAAAGGAATACAAGAAGCCAGACAGTTTCTGAATTTTTCATTTCTCATGGTTCAATTCTCATGTGTCATGTGCAGAACTCATTTTGTGTTAGGCTTCATGGCCTGTTGATTGTTTCTGATGCTAGTCTAATTCACAGTTTAAATAAACTCTTTAAGTTCTCTTCTCGGTAAATGTCAAGGAAACAGAAGATATTTCATGCACCTACAGCATCCCCAAAACCCCTGCCAAATCTATGAATCTGACTCTGCATTATCCTTCCCCAGAAGGAGAGCATAATTTCATTATCCATGAATCATCACCTCTTGGATTGCACCATCATTGTCAGAGAGCCTAACAGAACCAGTGTTTAGCTGGCTGAAATGGGGAAGGAGGGAGGGAGAGAGCAGTGGGGCAAAGCACAGGTCACCGGCATGATCCACAGACTGGAGAGTTCTGCAGCCAGAAGGGGAGCCTCCCTCATGTGATAGCTCAGACATTCCTACTGACTAGTCCATAACTGATGCTGATTCTTCCAATATTTATACTGAAGTTTATTTTTCCCAAACTAAATTACATCATATTTCAGTACCCTGCCTATGGAAAATATTAGCCCATTTAATGAAAGTATGTATCTTTGCCCAACATCAATGAGTATAAATGCTTTAAAATTTTTCTTATCTATTCTTATTACATTATAACTTGCTCTTCATCTTTGGGCACTTATTTCGAGCCCTCAGTACCAGTTCTCTGGCCTATGTTTGGGAATTATTGCTAAATAAGTCAATATGCAAAATATAACTTAAAAAAAACTGTCACTGAATTTCCCAGGGAGATTAACTAAATAAATTCAAATCTGATTCACAGATCAAAAACTACATTGTCAACCATGTTTCTGTAAGGATTCAGGGTTAAAAACTATATAAAATGTGTATGAATTGCTGTGGTTAGTCTAAGCAGCCACTGGAGGTCACTGCTGCTCCACAGAAATACAGTTTATTGCCCGTTGTCTACTTAGGTAGTTGATTCACTAAATAACGAAAAAATGGCTTAAATTCTTTGAAAAGATGTAATGTCAACATCCTTGGAAAACATAAACTCATTTAAAAGGACTATATCTTGCATAAGTCTTGCTAGGACATGGTGGCACTGGGACTGTTAACTTTAAGGTGCGGTAGCACTTTGGGTACTGGGGCTATAAAAGTGGGGGCAAAACCCCTTGCAGTTCAGAGACTAAATAGCATTTCCTCTCTGGCCAAGCAGTCCAAGTACCGACTGAATCCATCTGCCTCGAGGTGTGTCTGTTGTGTAGTTCAACAGGTCAAGCTGTTGTCACTTTTGAGGAAAGTCAGATACCTCGTGTAAATTTGCACTAGAAAATGGAATATCAATTATATGTTTCAAATATGCAGTGAGTTTGGAATACTAAAGAAATAGATTTATGATCTAAAGTTAAGGAAGTGCCACGGGGTAGGGGTGAGGGAAACAACTTTTGAGGAGGAGAACATTCTCCAGGTGGCTTTGTTAAATTTGTGGTGGTGAGCAAGTTATTGTCTAACTTACAAGGGTTATGTATTTGAGCTGAGAAGATACTTAAAAACTAGAGAAGCCTCATTCCCCAAAAGGGGAAAAGATCTTTTTTTAAAAATTTGTACCTGCGTGTTCTAAATCAAAACAAGTTTCACTATCTATGGGATTTTATTTAGGTTCTTACTCATTAAATTGATAAGGAGTTACAGTTACATGTTAAAAAATGACTAGCCTTTAAAATATTGGTCATTCATCTTACACACCAAGTGGCTTTGAATTTTAGAAACACTTTTCAATACAGCAAATATATTTTGTATACACTAGCAGTACCACAGCATTGAGAATTTGCAAGAATTCAAAAATATAAATATGTCTTGCCCAAATTTATTTGGTATCCATGACAAATGAGACAGAAGGTCAAGTCAAAGAATAGAAATGGGCCTTTTCACTTTAACACTGCATTTAATTAATACAATCATCTTTAGTACAGATAAAAATGAGTCTGACCAAAGAAAATTTCTTTTTTAGATGGAATGTGTATTTACTGACATTTTCTGAAAAAATGTAAACTTACAACTTCAGTGAAAAACACCACAGTAGGCTCAGTCATCCAGTTCATAATACTGTAAGGAAGTATCTGCATTATCAATCAATTGGGAATCTGTGACAATTTGCCATTAATAAGTGTATAGTCGACAATTATTCATGGCTAGATATACTGTAGCTATGATGCTTTTCTGAACTGCCATCTATTTTAGAATTTAATTAAAACCAAAGTCCACTTTAAATGTTCCCTTTTCTTTATTGCTCATAAAAACATGATTTTTATAATCTGGCTTCCTTGCAATTATATTTCGTGGTGACTTGCCTAGATTTTTGCCTGTCAGCATGTGAAAAGCCTCCAAACTATATGAAAATGCTGGTAAAAATAGCCATTCACTTTTTCTTTTTTGCTGCAGCGATTCTGTTTTGAAAGAACAGGGACATGGCTTGTCAAGCCAAATTAAATGAAACAGACTTAATGTTGCAATTCCTGATTTTTTTACCCCTGTAATTGGATTGTTCATTTTGGAGGGTGACAGAGGACACAGGCTAAAGACATTTTTCTAAAATCTTAATGAACTGTGGTCAAAGTTACTTAAATCCAAAAGCTGTGATATTTGTGCTGCAGTCAATAAACTTTCACCTACGACATAAAACCATGCATGCAGCTTGCACACTGCCAACAGGGTCTGTACAGAATCACACTGATGGATGAGTTCACAATACAGATGAACACAGGGACACCGTAACATCAGTAATAGAAAAGCAAAGACAAGTGCCATAGGGTTGCTCTTTTTCCCCTCTAAGATTTATTTTATACATTTAGTAAGGTGTTATCAAAACGGTCCTTTTTAATGAGGCTGTTGGTGGAAAGCATATCTTGGAATGTGTTCTCTCTGCACCTCTGAATGAAGTGTCAGTCATTAGGGGACTAGTGTGTGCAGGACACAAACGGAACACAACAGGACAGCCTGACAAACCCCAAACAGAGGAACAGAGAACACTCATTGCATAAGGGTCCCTGAAAGAGCTGAAATGAGAAATTCTGGTGAGCTCCCAACCACATGCATATAGCAGGCTGCCTCCCCTGTTGCAAGCCTCGTCTCTGAAAACTCCCTAACACCAAGGAGCCGCGGGGAAACCTGCCTCCTCAAATTTGCTTCGTGGCTATGGAGTTAATTGACTTATTTGGGGAGTGTAGAGACTAGAGCAAATTGACGGTGAAACCTCTAGTCTGATCTCACAGGGATGGGTTTCAGAGACAGGGCTTCAAGTCTGAAACTTTGTATTTTTACCACCTCACATCTTGTACTTGCCTACTCACAGCCTTTTAACCCTTCAACGCTTGCCCCTGGACTTGCCTCATCGTAATTCAGACGCCTCTGAAAACTGCTCGTGGCGCTGCTTTTACCCAGCACCATCTTTTGATAGCTTCCTGCAGTTTTCTTTTTGAGCCAGGCATTGTTTCAGGGCTCTGTCGCTAAGGGTTCCTGTCATCGGGCATTCTCCTGGAGTCAGTTCAAGGTACGAGAACCCGGGGTCACTCACTGTTCCCTCGATTTGCCAACGAACTGCAAACCTCCGAGAACCGTACATCTGGTTCTAGCAGAATACTGGCAGATGTGGGGGGCTAATTGTAAAAGAAGTTTTATCTGAAAACGAGTGTGGCATTAATGGAATCAATAAAGGGTCTTACACAATAGGCTCATATTAAACCAGAGTTCAAGCTTCACATTGACTGTGGTATTTAAGTTTCAATGGTTTCATTATGTATGAGAGGAAAATGACCGGTATTATGAATGTGCTGAAACGGACAGGGAAGGACCTTGCCAGCAGAGGGAGAGGGAGAGGGATGGGAGGGGGCGCCCGTTCCCTTTATAGTCACCGGAGTTCAATGAAGCACCACTTATTTCCCAGCTTTTAAGAGCGCTTTTAGCACAAGGGGTCATACCTCACACTCCCTGGAGCCCGATTTGTTATAGGTGCAGGGTCCCGTCCCATTCAGCAGCATCTCGCTGGTCTCCGTGTTGGTGGGCTTGTAATCTACATAAAATTCCTGGGTGCTGGGAGTCATTTGCTTTAGGGACTGTCTTTTCTTTTTCCTGTGCCTTCGCATGAGGGAGCGCTGCTGCAGCTGCTTCATGCTCGCAGGGTACCGCTTCCATGACACGTAGATAACCAGCAGGATGACAAGCACGGACAGGAAAAGGGCCACGCTCCCGGCGATGATTTTATGGAAGGAGATGTGCTCGGTGTCAGCATCGGTCTCTGGGCTGGGCTCCGTGGCTCCCACCGTGGGGGGCACAGGAGGTTTGCTCTCGTGCTTCGGCCTGGGGAGCTTGGGCTTGAAGGTGGGCTTTGGGAGAGCCCTGGCCAGGTCGAACCTCTCCGTGGTGCTTTTGCCACAGATGCTGTAGTTCCTCACTGCATCGATCACGTTGACTCCTTGCAGCTCTTTGGGACTGGCACAGATGATTGTGTTCTCCCGCAGACCTTTAAAACTTTTCAGCCAGTTTACCAGGGAACAGATATTTCTGCTGCATTCCCATATATTCCCGGCCAGACTGATGTCATTGAGGGATATCCAAGAATCCAAAATCTCTTGACCAATAAATGTGAGCTTGTTGGAATCCAGGTTGAGGCGCTGCAGATTCGGGACACACTGGAAAACACTAGGTCCACTAAAAGCTTCAATCTCATTGCCTGATAAATCAAGTCTTTGTAATGAGCTCCAGGTCCAGGACATGGTCTGTCCTATGACACTGATTTTATTCCACTGCAAGTACAGGTTCTGAAGGCTCACCAACCTCGGAAAAAGGGCCAGGTTGAGCTTAGAAAATTGATTGTGCTCCAGGTGAAGTTCTTTGAGTCTGATCATGCCAGCAAAGACATTCCTGGCTAAACTCCGGATCCGGTTATATCCCAGGTCCAAAAGTTCCAGGTTGCGGCAGTCCTGGAATATTCGCACAGGGATGGTTCTCAGGGAGTTAGACCTCAAATGTAAACTCAGCAGCTTCCTCAAGCCCCGGAACTGTTCAGATCCCAGAGAATGCAGCTGATTATAGGACAGGTCCAAGTTCCGTAAATTTGTTACAGGTCTGAAAGTGTTGTTGAGAAAATAGGAGATTCTGTTGGAACTCAGAATCAGCTCTTTGAGTCTGCGTATCCCATTGAAAGCGTTCTCATCAATATTGCTGATGTGGTTATGGTCCAGGTACAGCCAGGTGAGCTGGTTGAGCCCTTTGAATTGATTGTACTTAAGTTTTTGAAGGCTGTTGTAGCGAAGGGACAAACCTAAGCAGCCAGCAGATATACTTGAGGGTATCTCCTGTAATTTCTGAGATTCACAATATACCATTTTGCCTTCACACCTACAGCCCTTAGGGCATCCTCGCTCGGCAGAAGAAAGCATTGTCAGTAAGACAGTGGGGGCAATCACCAGTGCTACAGCTGATCCGCTCAGTAGCCTAATTACATTGAAACCTGAAAATAAAAACAACTTAGAAGTTATCCCCCCAAAAAAGAATTCATTTATTTTTAATCAAGCAAGAACAGGCATGTATTTTCATTTTTTAAAAAATTTAAATCTAGATAACATCATTTTACATCAAATAAGCATCACCTTGTCATTTAAAGAGAATTGTCTTCAGGGGTTTTTTGGTCGTTTTTTTTTTTTTTAATAGTTAAGCAAGAAACGTGTTCACTAAGCAATTGAATTTATAGTTTTAGAGCAGAGCAAGGTAATCTCTAAAATAATGAAGGCAGAAGTAATACACAGACTAGAGGATGTTTTTTTTTTTTAAAGAAGGAAAGAAGAAAAATGACAAAACATACCCATCCTTTGTATTGTTCAAAGGTCGTCCTTAGGTCTTTTGCTTTGGCTTAGGGGGCCACTTGCATGACAGCCCCTGTCAGTCGCTCTGTAGTGAGTCAGGGCTCGCTGACACCCCGGAAGAAAAATTGGACCCCTTGGGAGATGGACCGATTTTGGAACATTATTCTTTGCCAGCCACGCAGAACACTCCAAGAACAAATAAATCCCAACTCCGCATTTGCAGCAAAACATCAGAATCTTCCTAGGTAATAGGATCTTCATGGATATTACGTTTTTGCATCTTTACAGGTTTCTTTTGGGGGGGGGTGTCGTTAAAAACAAACAAACAAACTGCCTTCTACAATTTCTTCTTATCAGAAAGCATGCTGTATTCCTCCAGGCAACGCGGGGCTACCTGAGCTGCCACATCTGTATTCCATAGCCCCGCATTTCTGCTGCTGAGCACCCAGTTCAGCCACAGAGCTGCGTTGGAGCCCAGAAGGCAGGAGAGCCCCGGGCCGCGCACACGCTCAGCTCACTTCTGCAGACTGTCATTCTGAAAGCTGCTCCGACTGTTGCTTTGGTTTCCGTGAATGCAGTCTTATGTAAAGCTGCCCCCAGTGGTGAAGAACATTATGGGCATGTGCAGAAATGTCCCTCTTTTATCTTGCAAATGAGCAGGCTCTCTGCTGGAAAATGAATGATTGTTTTGGGTGGCTCAGTAAGAACTGAATGGTCACCATAATCAATAACTAGCAACATTTTCTGTAATTTCCAAGTCTTGTTTTACAATTTGGCAACGTCTTTATTGTCTGCGTCCACTTAATCGCTAAACATGTGCTGCCTAGAGTTTTTTTTGGAGCTTGACATTAAGTTCACAGACCGAATGTCAATTTTCTTTAACCTCAATGTAGGCTTCGAACTGAGATTTAGAAGATGAATTATTGAGCTTTTCATAGAGAAGTATTAGCTGCCTGCCCATTTGACCTCTAGGAGTGACAGTGATTATATTATGCAAGGTGTCTCAGGATGCTAGAACACATAGGTTTTGTAATAGAGGAGATAACTAATGACACAAATTCATGTGTCCAATAGCCTTTCTGGTTTTTCCACAAAAGACATCATTGGTTTAATGGCTTGTGGCTTGGTTTGTTGTTTTGTTTTGTTTTTTCATTTTTTTTAATTAGAAGAGAAATAAACTATTTTTAGTATGAATGAAATCATTAGATTCTATTTATTGCTGCTGTATTACACGGATAATATTTATTGAGTGCTTTCTACGTGCTTTGAACAGACTATCTTGTTTTATCTTTAAATAGGGTTATGATGTAGGTCCCATTAAAACCTTCATTTTAAAGATGAGGAAACTGAGACTTGGAGAGGTAACTTGCTCAAAGTCATATAGCAAGCAGGTGGCAGAACTGAGATTCAGAACAATATCTCTGTTATGCTTGAACTGCTAACTGGGTGATCTTGCTTCAACAGCATTGTTCTCTTCACTTTAAAATGACTGAAAAGAAAATTAGCCTGATTGAGGCATCGGGGCAGGGAAGCTATGGTTAAGAAAAAAAATATCTTGCTTCCTAGAATAGGTTTGCATAAACTTCTTTGGTATGAGTCTTTTAAAGAAGTATAATAAAAACTAAGGACAGGCAGTTTCGTCTAATGATTAAGAACATGGATTTTTGCAACTAAGTTGAAATCCTGGCTAAAATTTACTAGCTGTATAACCCTGAATAGGTTACTTTTCTTCTCTGTACCTCAGTTTTCTCTTCTACAAAATGGACATGATAACAAAAACCTATTTCAGAGAGGGGTGCGGAGTAAGTCATCTTAATATCTTTAAAATACCTAGAATAGTGTGTGGCACATAAAGCCTGCATTAGCTGCTATTTGAATATCAATTGATTATTGCATGTTGTTTGCTATTAAATATCAACTATACCGATTGTCATTAGCTCACCAAGAACTACTTTAATGAATATTTTCTGTGTCGTTCACAATGGATTTCTGAGATTCAGTCTTGCCTTCTTTGATAGGAACACATCTTTATGCCATTATTTCAACTTTATCTTTAAAATGAATCTTTTGGTTCTATGGACCATAATTAGTGACCAATGTTTGATTCTTTTCTTCCCCAAAGTAGAGAAAACCATTTTGTTTAAAAAGGAATGGCATTCTTTAAAAAGTTTGCCTTGTTAGTTTTTGTTAGGTGAATTAACTGGGACACCCTGGAGAGCTTTCACATTACCAAAAATGAGAAGTTTGGTAACAGTAAATCATGACAATCAAAAGGGGTCCCACAGAAATAGTCCAATGAAGAGCACCAGTTCCTCAGATAGGATGCTATTAATAGGGCAGTGGTTCCACCTAAAATGCTGTGAATGCAGACAAAGCCCCTAGAGACCTTGTTTAAAAGATGAATTCCCCAATCCCTCTCCCAAAATTCTCATTCAAGGGAATGGAAGAGGCTGTGCTTATCAAGACTCTGATGGACAACTAGGTAGAAGAAAGGTGCTATAAGGGAATAATTAAAAATAATAAATTTTCTCCTAGTAGGAAGACAGGACATACAAACCTATGACATTGTGATATACATTGCATGGTGATGAAGACATTGCTTTGTCTACTTCAGTTTCCCTACTACCTAGAACAGCACTTGGCACATTATAGATGCTCAATAAATATTTATTGAATAAGTATGTTTTTATGGGGGTTACAAGTACTGTTGATGTAGGATAACCTGGTAATGTAATGCTAGTTTTGTGTACGTGGCATTGGTCCCTGCAGAGTTCCTTAGCCAGTTGTGATTGGATACAATTTTGGAGGAAGGTTTTTTTTTGTTGTTTTTTTTTAAAGAATGTGTATGAAAAGGCAAGAAACTGGGAAGTGGAAACATGTAGATGGTCAGCAAGTGATCGTCACTCTTCACGTAGATATCGCTTGTCTTTGTAGTTAAGTCATAGATTTTATGAGAATAGTAAATATACTTTTGAATATTATCTTTGGCATATCACAACTTTTATCATCTGACATTCCCAATGGGGATTGACAGTATGTACCTATTAAAAAAGACTAAAGGGAATCATATTTATAATTCCTCTCATACCTCTGTTGTTCGAAAGCCTCTGATTTTTCTTCTTACTTGCCTTGCTTGTCTATTAGCATTAGCCATGAGATGTCTGCTTTGCCTAATAGCTGCACGGGGCCCCTCTAGGATGACTGGAGGCCCCATCAACTTTGTGCCCCTGATTCGTTTTTCGTTTCCTGATGACGGAAGCACAGATGGGCCCACTGAGAATGTCATTCTCTCACTTTACTTTTTTGGGGAGAAATCTTGGATTATTTATGATGAATGATATTCTTTGCTGTGCTATGCACCTTGCCCTTAGGTCTCAGACATTTTCCTGTTACCTTGGTTTCTGATCTTGTCTTGCTCCGTGGTTCTGACTTCACATTCACTCTTTAGATCTCATAGTTGATATTTTCTCTTAATACTGACTGTTGGTCTTTTCCTCAATGTGATCAGTAACCATTCTTGGAGTGGATCTGATTTCAGGCACTTTGTGTGCCCCCTACCTTGGCAGTAGTCTTTAAGCTGGCATCACTACCAGGTCTGTCCTGGTTCATGGTAATGACGTTCCTGAAGAGGAAGGCCATCATGAGGCTAGTACAGAGATATCCAGGATAAAATAATGCAATTTGAAGCCAGACTGAATACTTGAAGCTGTAGAAATTACTCCCCAAACAGAGAGTAGTCTCTCAAAAGAAAAAACCAACAGCTTGTACCTGAAAGATGTTAGTAATTTGCTGGTGTACTTTTCAAGGTTACCCTCTTTTTACTCACTGACTACATCAAGATGATCATTTCCGATTTGCCTCTCAACAGAAGCAGAATTACAGTACATTACGTGTTTAGCAAATTTGTTTGCACCTAATACCACATACAGAACAAACCATAAACTACCTGACATTTTAAATTTCCCCAGTGAATCCAGGGCCCTAAAGATTTGTGCAATTATAAAACATAGTGCCATGTATCTAAAGTTTTTTTTTTATTACACTTATAGTACTTCAAATTGCTTAATATGTTTTGTTTAAATTGGGTAAATAAATCCAATCTCAGTATATAATGCCAAATTTCAGACCAATATGAAACTGAATTGCAAAATATAAACTTAAAAAGTCAGGCTTAAAGAGGGTGTACTGATATTTTAACAATGGGTTGGCCTCAGAGATTTTATTTATTTCAAAAATACATAGTTTGGGTACCCACTATGTGCGAGACACTGTTTCAGACACATGGAGTATATCAGTGTACAAAACAAAGACCTAAGCATACAGTCTAAAGAGGTAAGATGGACAATAAAAATAAATGTAAATTATATATTATTAGGTTACATGTACTATAGAAAGAATAAAATTAAGAACTATAGGGAAGATTGGGAATGCAAAGGGTGAAGTGGGTTGTAATTTTAAATAGGATGATTAGGACTATTAAGAAAGTGGTTGAGTAGACCGTTGAAGGAGATGAGGTTGTTAACATTAAATATATATGGGGAGTGGCCAGTGCAAAGGTCCTCAGGTGAGAGCAGATCATATGCTCAATGTACAGCAAAGAGCCAGTTAGTCTAGAGTAGGGAGGAACAAGGGGTAGAGTAATTGGAGATGGAGTCAGAGAGGGACTGGATACTGGACCAGGGAGGGCTATACACACCATTGAAAGAACTTCGGCTTCATTCTGGAGAAAACTAGAAGCCAACTTAATATTTTATGCTGAGTAAAGATATGATCAAGTTGCCTATTAAAAGGATCTCTTGTGCTGCTGTTGTGGGAATAGACTCTAAAGGGACAAGAGTAAAAGCAGGGAGACCAGTAAGGAGGCTCTTCTACCAATCAAGGAGAGAGATGAGGGGCACTTGGATCAGTATGGTAGCAGCTGATGTGGTAAGAACTGGTTAGATTCTGTGTGTATGTTTAGGTAAAAGCAGCAGGAGTTTTCTAATGGATAAAAAGTGGAGGTATGTGATAAAGAGAGAAATTAAAGACAATTCCTAGTTTTATGGGCTGAGCAACTGGAAGGGTTGGTGAAGCCATTCACTGCTTCCATGGGTCAAGTCTTGGGCATAAGTTTAAGAGTTAATACATTTGAATTAAGTCCGAATTTGGCTGTCACTTTTCTTCAATTTTATGAAACTTTAATTTTTGAAAATATCTTCTTGATATTAGGCCTCAAAGCACCATGGTGTATTTTAAAATATTTTATAAAATAATTAGCAAAATTAGCCACTAAGCAACAGCAACATGGGCTTCTATTCAGATGGCCTAGACAGAGGCAGCATGTTTGCATATGGGTTAGGAAGGCAAAAGCTTTGATGAAAATGGAAAATTGCGTAAATACCAGGTATGGAAACATTTGGACTGAGCATTCTAAGAAAATAACTTTGGTAAATAGAAAATGTCTTTCTAAAATAATTTAGAGAATGACATATACTTTTTATTGCATATGTCAGTTAACATTTAGAATTTGGAACTGATTATGGCCAAAGTTCTCAGGGTCTCAGTTTGCTTATATCTGG